TGAAATATGTTGTACAATGTGGATATATAATTTTATATTTTGATCATAGATACTTTTTTTAATGTAAAAAAAGACGTTGAAGTGTGCATTAATGTATATGGCACACTATCCTTGTGGAAGAGCCCTTCCAGCAGCCCATAATGACTGATTTCCATCCCAAAAGAAATTTGCAGTAGGTCGATTTTGCCAAAAAAACTTTTTTTTTTTGTAGATTAATAAGCCTTAATTGAGCAGTGTATGCAGCATAGGCAATACAACAAAACATATTGTAATGTACAGTATATACACTTAAAAAAAAAAAAAAAAAAAAAAAGCTAAAGCTACCTAAGTCATATAAATTGCCAAACGGGCGAAAAAGTCACAGGGCATAGGTAAAGACAATCAACAAATTTGCCCACGGAACTTCTTAAGGTACATTAAAACACCCAAAATAGGTAAAAAGGCTTTTTACTTTTAAATATCCAACAATAAAATCATAAACACATATACAAGCAAATAAAAAGAAAGACTGGTTTACTCTTGTCAGTTTGTTGCACAAGATCTATTCTTGATTCCAATTTCATATCTTAGCCATGAATATTCATGTTAATAGTCCCCAAAATCATAATTAGACACAAAAGATGGAGCACATCACAAATCTCTGTGCATTTTATGAATTCGGAGTGGATGCTACTGACAGGGTATCTACAGAACAAGAGATTAAAGTTGGAAATTTTGACAAAACTAGTGATATCATACAAGGGAAACTAGTGATATAATACTAGTGATATCATTAAAGAGAATGCAAGGCTAATTAAACCCCAATCGGTACAGAACAAAATAATTACAAATCAGTGTAAAAATAATAAAAAAAAATTATAGCATTTCCAAATGGTAACCGCCAAGGGTGCCTACCCCAGGAACTGTGACAGTATGAGCCACGAGACCCAGCAGGACAAACAGAGAGCAGAACCAGCTCAGTTGGAAATTAAAGGTCAGTATAGTCCATACCATCACCAATGATAAGCATGAAAAAAATCTACCGGAAAGCATATAAACAGTGTACAATATAATCTAGGTGGATGTATCAAAAAGATACACCAAAGATAGACCAGGTTAGCTGCGGGAGCTGGAATAGATCTAAGTGGACATGCAGCTCCTTTTCCTCCTCTTTTGTTTTCTGCATTTGTTTGTTATTTTTCTGTTCATTATGTTTTGATTTGGTTTTTTTTTGTCTTCATGTTTTTTGCAGGTTACTCTTTGTTTCTTTTTTTGTTTTTTGTCTTATTTCATTCTTTGGAGCATGCATGCAAGCAGCTTGATTGGGCCCCAAGGCAGGAAAGTAAGGGGGAGAAGTGAGTACATTTTTTCCCCTAGAATTAGAGTATGATATTCCAAATACAACAGCCCTAAATTTTGTAGAGTCTCACTCAACATTAAGCAAAAAGTGCCCACTATGTCAGAAGTAGAGATAATGAGGTTTTTTTTAAATAAAAATTCAGCTTATTATGTCACAATCAAGAGCTAGGAATATTGTATGGATACCCAACACACCATGTGCGTGTTTTTACTAGGTCACAATGCAAGACAGAGAGACTATGCAGGTTCAGTCCTCCCTAAATATAAATTAAAGTGTGCTGCTTTTTACAAGCCACAACCTAGAAAAACTGAACTGATTATCTTGAAAGTATGTATTCTTTATTTGCTATGGTTCTATGTCAGAGGGAAATTTAGCAGACCAGATCTGGGATAAACAAATCACTATGTCTTTTTTTTCTTAGACCATAGACCTAAACAACTGTAAACATTTGGTGCAGACTTCTTAAAGCGGTAGTTTAAAAAAAACTGCAAGACAATGACAAAATGTGATAGAATGCAATACAATACATTATGAAGTACTTACCTTAGAACAAAGCCCTCCAGCGTCACACTGTTACCGCTGACAGGGCTTCTATTTTCATCCAGTCTTCCTTCCAGGTTCACGTGCTTCGGCTGGCCGAGCCGCAATGGCGTCACTCCTGTGTTCATGCCATGCCATGGAGCTCTGAAGCGATGGCACAGGTATGGCATCCCTTCAGAGCGCATGCGCCGGTCACGTCACAGGGCTGAATGCAGTGTGAATCTCTTAAACCATGCAAGTTTAGGAGATATTCACTGTACCTACAGGTAAGCCTTATTATAGGCTTACCTGTAAGTACAAGTTAAAACAAAGACTTTACTTCCACTTTAAAAACTTTTTGCAGTCGTGGTCGGGGCCTACTGTGCCAATGTGACGACCCAGAGAGAGACAACCCGCTAGTGCCACAAAAACAAAACATTCAATTATCTGCACATATTTCAAAACACATTTTATAGGCCAGAATTGCAGAGGTAAAGAGTGACACAGGGAGGATTTTATGTAAGGAATCACTGTTAGGCCATACTATTTCCAAGAGTGTGTACTCCGAATTTCACAACTGAGGAAACATAATGGGGCAGATTTACTAAACTGGGTGCACTCAGGATCTGGTAAAGCTGTTCCTAGTAACCAGTCAACGTCAGCTTGTTCAGCTGCTTGTGGATGACATCCTGCTTTTTTGTGGTTCTGCCTCTCCCTCGCTTTCTTCCTATGCTCTGTCAGGCACACAGAGACCTCATCATCATCACCACCACGTTAGAGACCTCATTATTGTCACCACCCTCCTTATCACGTAAAAAAAATACTAAACTTTTTACATTTAAATTTTTCCCTTAAAATAACCAACATGCTATTCTTATTCTGCAGAGCAGTCCTGATCCTCCTCTTCTCAGGTCCCCCACACTCGTGCCCCCCCCCCCCCCACTGAGGAAAAAAGCTGTTTGCTGTGGGGGCACCCGTGCATCCTTGCTCCTGAGCCGACCCTGCGTGTCCATACGAGAGAGAGAACATGGCTCAGCCCTGTTCACACTCCCTCCTCACTGGCTGTGATTGACAGCAGCAGGAGCCAATGTCAATGAGGAGTGAGAGAAAGGAGAAAGCCTTGGCTCTTGTGCACATCGCTGGATCAAGATCGAGCTCAGGTAAGAATAAGGGGGGGGGGGGGCTGGGGGGAAGCTGCATGCAGCTGCGAGAACATTACTGCATTGTGTTCTTTCCCTCTAGGCTCCTATTACTCTCCTCCCCAACCTTGGAGCCCAATAATTGCAAATCCTCTTGCTTTAAGTGGCTCATGCTGTGCTCTATTAATTCAACAGACTCCTCCATGACAGTTGGCAGGGCAATGGCAGGATTAGCTGTGGAGGAGACAGAATAAGGTGTTTTGGCAGATGTGATAGACTGTGACATAGTCTGAACCTGGATGACAGAGGAGAAGGGCCATGAAGGCTTGGCAAGCAACTCCACCACCTCTGGTTACATAGCACACCAAGCACTCAAAAAAAATGGTGAACATGCTCTGCCTGCAGATGATGCACCACATCCATGACCACTGCTTTAGCCTATCGACACAGAGGCTACTTGACAGCTCTTAGCTGCATGGGAACTTCTGCCTCTTCCTGTAGGCCTTGTATGCTAATGTGGGGCTTATTTTCTATATATATTTTTTCAGCTAATAGAAGGGCTGTATGGGGGGAAGTGGTTCTTGGGAGCACTGTAAACTACGCTGTATGGTGCTTGGATGTACAGTAAACTGTGGTGCTTGGGTGCACTGTAAACTGCGGTGCTTGGGTGCACTGTAAACTACAGTGGTTGGGTGCACTGTAAATTGTGCTGCTTGGGTGCACTGTAAACTGTGGTGCTTGGGTGCACTGTAAACTGCGGTGCTTGGGTGCACTGTAAACTGCGGTGCTTGGGTGCACTGTAAACTGCGGTGCTTGGGTGCACTGTAAACTGCGGTGCTTGGGTGCACTGTAAATTGTGCTGCTTGGGTGCACTGTAAATTGTACTGCTTGGGTGCACTGTAAACTGTGCTGCTTGGGTGCACTGTAAATTGTGCTGCTTGGGTGCACTGTAAACTGTGCTGCTTTGGCGAACTAAACAAAACCTCAATGTTCTGTCGTGCTTCACTGCAAAGAAAAGGCATCTGTTGTGGTGACACCAAAAGATTTACACTGCTGTTGCTGTCACTGACCCTGTAAAGAAAAAAAAAAAGAAGAACCCGACAAAACAAAACAAAAGCTCAAACACAAAAGTGAAATAAGAAAAAAAACAAATACCCACCTGAAAACATTACAAGCAAAATAGACTTCCCAAAACAAAAAAGGGGGAAGAACAGCAACAGAACCTGCCTCTGACAACAAACACACAACAAAATGAGTCCTAAAAAGGACTGTTGGATCTTAGGAAACCATAATAAATGCAGGTGGGATTATACTTCACTTTCCCAAGCTACATAAACTGCAATTCGCTGCAAGGTATCAGTAATAAATATATAGTACCAATTTTACTGCTCTATATAGCACTGAGTAGTAATAGCACACTGCACTACACTACCCAACTCTTTCTCCCTAAAAGCATTGTCAGATGCTCCTCACTAGACTCCCAACACACTGACAAATGGTTGCTTGGAATATCGTTTTTTTTATACTGTGTGGGTTGAAACTTAGGTCAAAAACATCATTGACAGATATTGGGTTGGGTGCAAGACTTTTGCCAATGATGGCTTCAGCAATGCATGATAGGACATTCCGCAGAGCAGTTTCAGCTGAACATCTGACCAGCTTACACTGGGACCAAACACTCAACTTTGTCACTGTGAGAGAAGAGAGTGCTGATGCTGCAGCCTGTGAGTGTACAGCTGCCCATCAGGCTGCATGTACAATCACAGACTGCAGTGCCAGCCTTCCCCAGTATCCCTGATCACTGCCCTAGTGTGCCTGAGCGCTGCCCCACTGTAGTCATAATAAATAATGCAGCCAGCACCTGTCTCCTTCCTGTCCCAGGGTCCACAATGACACTGCCATACACCATATTAATGTCCTGATCACTGCCATACCAGCATCCTGATCACCGTCATACCCCATACCAGTGCCATAATCACCGCTTGCTATACCAGCATCCTGATCACCGCCATATGCCATACCAGAGGCCTGATCACTGCTATACTCCATACCAGCGCCCTGATCACCACCATACTCCATACCAGCGTCCTGATCACCACCATACCCCATACCAGTGCTCTGATCACCACCATACCCCATACCAGCATCCTGATCACCACCATACCCCATACCAGCGTTCTTATCACCCCATATGCCATACCAGCATCCTGATCACCGCCATACCCTATACCAGCATCCTGATCACTGTTATACCAGAGTTCTGATCACCCCATATGCCATACCAGAGTCCTGATCCCTGCCATACACTATCCCAGCATCCTGATCACCATCATACCCCATATCAGCATCCTGATCACCGCCATACCCCATAACGGTGTCATGATCACTGCCATACCAGCATCCTGATCACTGCCATACCTCATACCAACATCCTGATCACCACCATACTTCATACCAATGTCCTGATCCCTGTCATACCACATACTAGCATCCTGCATTTTAGGGTCTCAACCCATCAATTTTCAGATATAAATTCCATAGTTTGTAGACCCTGTTACTCTCACACACACTAAAAAATATACACTGGTTTGGGGTATTTTTACCCAAAAAATGTAGCAGAATACATTTTGACCTAAATTTATGAAGAAAGATTAGTTATTTGCAAAATGTTATAACAAAAACTAAGCAACAAATGCTTGTTTTTTTTAATTTTATGTATTTTTTAATTTATATAGCAAAAAATAAACCCAGTGGTGATTAAATACCATCACAAGAAAGCTCTATCTGTCTAAAAAAAATGATAACAATTTCATATGGGTACAGTTTTGTATGACTGAGTAATTGTCACTCAAAGTGTGATTGTGCTGACAGCTAAAAATTGGCCTGGACTGGAAGTGCCCAGACTCAAAGTAGTTAAATATTTATTATTGATTCCAATGTGTGAGATTTATGTGGTAACTCAAAAAGGAGAATTTCTCTTTGCTTCTCCACAAAATATACATACCCCCATCAAAGCCCATAATGAGAAAATTAATAAATCATGACAGATATTCACACCACAAACTGAAATGGGGAGCCAATCGAGTGAATCATTCAGAAGCTTATTTTGAAGTTTGTTCTTCTCCGCTGCCTTGTCTTTAAATATCAAATTTGACTGACTGTTGAAGCTGCATATTAAATATTTTAAAAAATGTAAAACTTCTACTTTTTCCTCCGTTCAGTACAAAGCATCAAAAAGCTATATGAATTTCTAAAAACACAAGCTGCTGGGTACATCTCTCAGTAAGAGACAATAAAAAAAATACATACACACATATATATATATACTGTATATATATATATATATATATATATATGTATATATATATATATATATATATATATATATATAGCCATGGTAAACAATATTGGCACCCCTGCATTTCTGCCAGATTATGCACCACTTTACCCAGAAAATTGTTGCACTTACAAATGTTTAGGCATTCGCATGTTTATTTCTTTTGTTTGTATTGGTATGACACAAAACAGTGGAGAAACAAAAAGCCATATCTGTCACATTCCACACAAAACTCTGCAAATGGACTGGACAGAATTATTGGAACCCTCAATTTAATATTTGGTAGCAGACCCCTTGGAAAAAATAACTGCAATCAATCACTTTCTGTAACCATAAATAGGTTTCTTACACCTCTCTACTGGAGTTTTGGACCACTCTTCTTTTGCCAACTGTTCCAGGTCTCTCAGATTGGAAGGGTTCCTATTCCCAATTGCTGTTTTGAGATCTCTCCTCCGGTGTTCTTCAGGATTTTAAATCTAGACTTAGTGCTGGCCAGTTCAGTACTCTCCAGCACTTTGTCTTAAACCATTTCTGGGTGCTTTTGATGTGTGCTTTGGGTCACTGTCCTGCTGTAAGACCCATGACCTCTGATGGAGACCAAACTTTCTGACACTGGACCCTACATTGCACCCCAGAATTCTTTGGTTGTCTCCAAATTTCATAATACCATGCACACAGTCAAGACATCCAGTGCCTGAAGCAGGATAGCAACTCCAAAACATCATTGAACCTCCACCATGTTTGATTGTAGGGACTGTATTCTTTACTGTACAGGCCTCATTTCTTTTTCTGAAAACAGCAGAATGATTAGCTTTACTAAAAATCTGTCATTTGTTTTGTTTGTCCACAGCACATTCTCCCAAAAGGATTTTGGCTTTCTCGGGTAAGTTTGGGCAAACTCCAATCTGGCTTTTTTATGTTTCTGTATCTGCAGTGGGTTACTCCTTCTGGGTCTCCTACCATAGCGTCCCTTGTTTATGCAGTTGGCGACATATAAATACGAGCTGACACAGTGTCTGAAGGTCAGCTTGAATTTGGCTGGAAGTTGATCAAGGTTCTTTATCCACCATTCGAACAATCCTTCGTTGCAATTTTTGATCAATGTTTCTCTTTCATCCAGGGAGATTTGCTACAGTGCCATGGGTTGTACACTTCTTGACAATGTTGCGCACAGTGGACACAGGGACATTAAGATCTTTGGAGATGGATTTGTAACCTTGAGATTGTCCATGACTTTCCACAATTTTTGTTCTCAAATCCTCAATTCTTTGCTGCTTCTTCTCTTCTCCATGCTTCATGTGGCACACAGAAACACACAACAGAAATGTTGAGTCAATTTGTCACCATTTAATGTTAATTGATATAGGTGAGTTTAATTACAAATTATAGGAGCACCCCAACTTGGAATGCAGTTATTTCTTACAATTTTGAGAAGGTATTTTGTCCAGTCCGTTTTTGGGGTTTTGTGTGGAATCTGTCAGATTTGGCTTTTTGTTTCTCCACTTTTTAGTGTCATTCCAATACAAACGAAAGGAATAAACATGAGATGCTTATATATTGCAAAAAGTATTGAGATGCCTGCCTTTACACACACATGAACTTTAATGGCATCCCAGTCTTAGTCCGTAGGGTTCAATATTGAGCTGGCCCAACCTTTGCAGCTATAACATCTTCAACTCTTCTGGGAAGGCTGTCCACAAGGTTTAGGAGTGTGTCTTTGGGAATATTTGACCATTCTTCCAGAAGCACATTTCTGAAGTCAGGCACTGATGTAGGCCGAGAAGGCCTGGCTCGCAGTCTCCGCTCTAATTCATACCAAAGGTGTTCTATCGGGTTGAGGTCGGTACTTTGTGCAGTCATGCTAGTACCATTCTCCTGGCAGCCGCCACACCCAGACATGTCCATCGGATTGCCAGACCGAGAAGCGTGATTCGTCACTCCAGAGAATACATCTCTACTGCTCTAGAGTCCAGTGGTGGCGTGCTTTACACCACTGCATCCAACACTTTGCATTGCACTTGGAGATGTAAGGCTTGGATGCAGCTGCTCGGCCGTGGAAACCCATTCCATGAAGCTCTCTATGCGCTGTTTTTGTGCTAATCTGAAGGGTACATGAAGTTTGGAGGTCTTTAGCTATTGACTCTGCAGACAGTTGGTGACTTCTGCGCACTGTGGGCTTCAGCAAGCACTGACCCCACTCTGTCATTTCACGTGGCCTGCCGATTTGTGGCTGAGTTGCTCTTGTTCCCAGTTACTTCCACTTTGTTATAATACCACTAACAGTTGACTATGGAATATTTAGTAGCAAGGAAATTTCATGGATGGACTTATTGCACAGGTGGCAACCTATCACGGTACCACGCTTGAATTCACTGAGCTCCTAAGAGCGACCCATTCTTTCACAAATGTTTGTAAAAGCAATCTGCATGCCTAGGTGATTTATTTTATACACCTGTGCCCATGGAGGTGATTGGGACACCTGAATCCAATGATTTGAAGGGTCATCCCAATACTATTGGCAATGTAGTGTATATATGCATATGAAGGGCAGCACAGGGAGAGGAGGCTAAAAAGAGAACATTCATTGCTGCTCCTAGGATAAGCCTTCCGCTAGCAACAGGACAGGGGTGGAATGGGCTTGGGTGCTGCTTGGCCAGGAACAAGTCATGAGAGAGCCATGGGAGAGACAGGAGGCATGTGGAGCCCAAACCACAGCTGTTGATGTCCACCATTGGATCAGGAACCCGTCATGCGGGGAGGTTTCCCGCAGCACTCCTTTGTGAACTCAGGCTCAAAGTCACTATGACAAACATGGATTCACACAGGAGCTGTGTGAAAAACTGCAAGCGATTTGGACAAGAATTGCACTGCATCCCTGTTCAAATCGCATGCATTTCTTTGCAGTGCAATTTGTGTCCATTCATTTTGTATGGGCTCAAATCAAAGGTATAATTTTCTGTAGCGGAAGCATTTGCATGAGTATGAGTACTTGTACAAGTACTCAGTATTGGTACTGGCGCAACCCTAATATATTGTATAGAAATATGCACATGAAGGGCAGCACAGGGAGAGGAGGCTGAAAAGAGAACTTTCATTGGTTGCTTCTGCATCCTAGCATAATGCAAACCAAACTAGAGAAAAGAGGAAAGTCAAGAGGAAAGTGAAAGAGACCTAATAATCCCGCCCATTAGTAGTCCCTGGCTATCCCAAGAACACACCCTCCATAACCACATGTCGGTGTACTTACAAATCAGATACACCATACACACCCATAAGGGATTGGAAGGGGACAGTTCTCTCCTCACTGAAACACACACCAACCTATCTGATTAGTCCAAGAGGGGTAGCAATACCATATATAGAAAAACATTTCCTGCCCTGAGTCATGTGATAGTCCTAGCTTACTTAACTAATCCTCATTGTAATCTTCCAAAATGGCCACCGCACCAGAAATGACATCTCCACTCAATGCTGGACCGCAAACAGTTTATCTACCTGGCAATCCACCAGAACTACAGTGGAAAAGCCAAAGAAGCATCCCAGGAAAGAAGAGAAAGGAATCAGCACAGTAGAAAGAACCTACACCATCATAAAGACCACTTCAATGAGGACACATCAAGGGCAGACATAAGGCACCTAGGACCAACATAGACAGGCAAAGTAACGACTATACATAGATAAAGAAAGAATGTACAACAAATAACAACCAAATAGGTTAACAAAACAGAATAAAGAAACAGAAAATACTACATTCGACCCCTGCTTCTGTCTCCACCATCACATATCTATCTGAAGGGGTTCACAATCTACATTGACATATGAATCTCAAAACAAAAACAACCAACTGCTTCATGTAGGTTTTGTAAGTTTGTTGTTATGTAATGTTTTTTTTTGTTTTTTTTCCCTCTTCTTTCTCTTTCTTCTAATTTTTGCCTTCCTTCTGTTGGGGTCAGGGTAAATGTATACAGGTTACCTCATTGAAAATGAATACCTGTGCATTTATGTATGCTATATATATATTTTTTTTCTAATTGCAGATAAGCAATGGATACCTGTTACATATGAGCGTTGTGTTCTGAAGAAGCGGTATTGACTGTGAAATGTGTCATAAACTCATGCTAAATTCTACATTATGTGCAGTATATACTACAGATGATG